ATATATATGTATATATGTATATATATGTATATATGTATGTATGTATACACAAATAGTAATATAATTGTAAATAACCTAAATGCATGTTACCAGAAATGTTTTATCTAGAAAATGGAATACTGAAAATAATGAGGTAGCTTTATATGTACAGATATGTAAAGATGTTCACAAAACTCACAATTATTATGAAAAATTGAAAGTAATTTTGGAATAAATTTATATAGTATATGTATTTAAAAAAAGACAAAGAATTGTTACTTCTGGTGATATAGATTGGTGTGCAAGATAGAGAATCTCATTGGTATGGAAGATAGAGAATCTCATTGGTGTGGAAGATAGAGAATCTCATTGCTTAGAAAATCTTGTAACACACACCTTATGCATTAGTTTGCCAAATACTCCCTCTTCTTAGGAAGTATTTTTGTAAATATGATATGCTAACTTTTTTACAGCAACATGTTAAAAAAATTGGCATAGCTGAGCTTACAAAAGTACCTAGCAGGAAGACGGAATAGTTGGCAAACATAGAAGATGTATATTTTTTGCATAAAAATGTGGTATTTTCATTAAAAATTCTGTTACTGTATGGATTTAGCCAAGAAAACACTTGAAAGTGCTCTTTTTAATACAGCAAAATTCCTTTGTTCTTCATTTTATAATTAAATTATTAGTTTTACCTTCTTTTGTTACAATCTATTCATGAAAGATTTAAAAACTGTTAAGGTTCTTAGATGACCATACTCAGATTTTTTTTACTTTAAGAATTATGTCCATATGACAAGGTTAGCTGATCTGGCAATCAATAGTAAAGTATTTTCATTCAAAAATGACAATTTATGATTTTTCTTAATATTCTTTTTTAAAAAAATAGAGAAATGTTAACTAAAACTGTATCTTTTTGTCTTTCTACTAGGAGAGATGTCTTGGATGATCTTGTGACGCTGCATAATTTTAGAAATCAGTTCTTGCCAAATGCACTGAGAGAATTTTTTCGTCATATCCATGCCCCTGAAGAGCGTGGGGAATATCTTGAAACTCTTATTACAAAGTTCTCACATAGGTTCTGTGCTTGTAACCCTGATTTAATGAGAGAACTTGGCCTTAGTCCTGGTAAGAATATATAGAATAAGATACTTCCTTTCTGCCCTACCTCACCATCGGGAAAAAATACTTCTGATAAATACCTGTTTTCTTGGTTGTAGTATTGTAGTAATAATTTTGTGGAATATATTATGTGTTTGAGCTTAGAAGGAATACCTTAGCTTGTCTTGGCTGGTTTTTGTTTGTTTGTTTGTTTGAATAGGAAATATGCTGTTTCAGGGAGAAAGTTAGACTTAGATACATAAATTCATTTAAATTATTCTTGTTTGAACTTTGTATATTTATACTAGTCTAATTAAAAACTTAAAAAATTATTTTTAAAGCTTTTAGTAATCTACATATTACATAAGTAACACATGGAATTTTCCTACTGAAATTTGTTTTTAATGAAAATAGTTTTCATTGTGTGCGTGTATGTGCATGTATGTGTGTGTAGCCTGAATCTCCTACAAATTTTTCATTTGATATAACTTTACATATCTCTTCAAATGAAAAATTTTATTGTGCTTGTCTTATTAAGCAGACATTACAAAATATATTGAACACAATTTATAAGACAAAATGTTTAAATTAACTTTCTTGAGACTATAGCATTCTGAAATATAACACCATAGTAGTAGCCAACAATCAACAATTATCAAAAGTAGTAGCAAGTATCATGTTTGATACTACTTTAGTATTAAACATCTAATATAATTTAGGCTATATAAAGAAGAAGATTATTTTGATACGTAGTACTCAGATTTAGCAGTCTTTTCTGCCAAACATTCACTTTTGATATTAATTCTATGAACCTTCAAAATACATTTCTTAAATAGGAAAATTACTTACTACTTACTTACTTACAGCCCTCGAGTCGGATCTGACTCATAGTGACCCCTCTGTGGGTTTCTAAGCTGATATCACTATGGAAGTAGATTACCAAATCTTCCTTCGGAGGAGTGACTGGTGGGTTTGAACTGCCAGCATTCTGGTTAGCAGTCAAATGCCTTAGGCATTATGCCACCAGACTCAGTAATAATCTTAGAGATTTTCAAAATGGAATCTTGCTAGTGAGCAGCAGCACGCTTTTTCCCTCTGGCATCTAAGGACTTTGAAATCTAGGTACAACAGTTTTAATTAGGAACTTTGGTGCTGTGAACATCTCACTGAATCAGAGTGCACCAAACACAGAAGAACAGAATTAGAGGAAAGGCACGGGCAGATTATTTAGGAAAGAGCTACTGGCAGAGGATGGATGGGCAGCCAAGAGACCATTGGAAACTTTCCTGGGGCAGTCACTGCCAGGCGAGGGCGGCCGCCTGAGATCCCCGAGCCAAGAAGGAAGACACCTTATAGCAACATACCAGCAACCTGCCTCCAGCAGCTGATTTTGTTAGTAATTTGGGTTGTCTGGGTGCAGGCGGGCACGGGCACCACTGCTGAGATTCAGGTGGAGAACTCACTGTTGTGCCAGAAAGTCTAGCTCCCTCCCCTCCCAGCGGGTCACAGAGCAGGCTTGGGTCAGACTGGGAGACACCGTGCTTTCCTTTGCCATGGATATTGAGACTGCAGGTCACTAACAGGTACTCCCCCAACTCCAACACAGCTGAAATTGTATGACTTTGGCACCGCAGGTGGGTGGCATCACAGACAAACTCCAGACCGGCCATTAGCAGTCTGGCGGGATTGCGTCAGCACCGCAGGCAGACGGGACACAGAAAGCGAAGAAACTGCAGCTGAGTGCGGTCCCACAAATTTTGCCTTGGAGCTGTTCTTTGGCACTGTGGGGCCGCGGAAGCGGGGTCTTTGAGTGTGCCTGAAATTGGCGGAAATTTGCGATGCTCTAACAATAGGAATCTTTCCTAAGGTTGAGTCATAGTCTTGGAAATAAATACGTCATCAGTAATAGCCTGCTCAAAGCCCTAGAAACCAACCCTAACAAAACCAAGCTTTCCTTCTCTGCTCCCACCTTCTCCACCAATAACTTCACGCATTCAATAGAAGAAACCATATTCAGCCAATTACCATAAAACCTCCCACTTCAAACACTAAACCCTCTTTATGCAAAACAGAAACACATGTCCACACTACACACAGTGATTCCACCATCACACCTTTTCAAAATACTAAACCATAAAACAAAGACAAAACAAATCAACACATAACCAGCACCTACAGACAACCTAAAGAGACACCACTCTACCAGATTCCAGAGACTTGAGAAGAGATTCTGCTTTCCAGTAACCCCAAGAACTCTCTGGACCTGCACTACATGATTGAAAAGCACCTAGTTTACACCTTATTTTTTTTTTCTTTTTCTCTCATGCTTACCCCCATTCCTTGTTTTGTTTTTTTTGTTTGTTTGTTTGTTTGTTTTTTCCTGTTTCTTAGTTTGTTTTCCTTCTTCATTATTCTCCTTCTCTACCTTTTTTCTCTTAATGACCTATCCCCAGATACTGCATATTTACCTGTTTTCTTTTTCTTTTCTCCACTTTTTCTTTTTTTGGGTTACTGTTCCTATGTGATTTCAGGGTGTATTTTTTGTCCATGTCCTTTTAGTTTTTTCAATGGTTATTCAATTGTAATTTTTGCCTAACTGAGTGGGAGAAAGCAACAGTCCCCGTAAGATACAAGTACACCCACACCTCCTGCAACTTCACTTACTGAGCAAGAGCCAGCACCTCCTCCTCCACCAACAGAACAACAATTAAAAACCACCAAGAAGAGCCTGAATCACCCTTGGCTGCTCTTCACAAACAATTAACAAAGATATTAATACAATACCACGATGCCTTGGAGACAACAGACCATCATAGTCCACACAAAGAAGCAAGATAAAGTGGTAGAAACAAAGGAACAGGATACAGACCCAGAACACATCCCTGAGGAAGAAGCAGCATTGGAACTCTCTGATAAGGAAGTCAAAAGAATTATATGTAGGTATCTTCAAAGGATT